TTATACTAGTAATATATCAAAAATTGCTGGCTAGAGTAAAATCATGCTCCATTTATGGAACAGAATACATGAAAAATCAATAGATGACCAGTGGAAACCAGAGTGAGAAGCAAAATATTAAATTCAAAAATTTGGGACAACCTTTCATTAAAAACTTATAGAGAGATGGGTTGACCTGGTGGCGTAGTGGTTAAGTTTGCGCACTCCACTTTGGTGGCCCAGGGTTCACCAGTTCAGATCCTGGACATGGACCTACTCACTGCTCGTCAAGCCATGCTAAGGCAGTGTCCCACAGAGAAGAACTAGAAGGACCTACAATAGGATATACAACTATGTCCTGGGGTTTTGGGGAGAAAGAAGAGGAAGATTGGCAATAGATGTTAGCTCAGGGCCAATCTTCCTCAAAAAAAAAAAAAATGACAGATATGAGTTTATTACACGGAATAATAAATAAGTAGTTCCAGCCATGGGTAATGATGATACTTTAGGAATAGACATTGTCACAGCACATCCACGTGAAGAAAATCGGGCAATTATATCTTTAAATATAAATAGGCCAAAAATTGATCATTTACTATACCCCCAACTTATGCTGTTTGATTCATATTTACTTATTAGAAAATTAACAATAGATCCATGGACACTATATCCAGACTTTGAAAGAACAGGGATACCTTGTAAGTTGTATAGAGAACATGCAGGAAACAGCATATAACACATATCACTATCCTTGGGGGTATACGTCCGGCTTCTATATCACATCACAGATTTCTACCCTAAGAATATGAGAACCTATGTTAATAAAACCTCTCAAGGTCATATAAGAACCTACAATAGTAGCCTATACCTTGAAATTTAATACACAAGGCTTTCAAGCCAGATAGAGATCTCTCAGTTTTATCCATCTTCGTTTATGTCCAATTTACAACCAATGCCCAAAACAGATTTGCTGAAAGGAAGAAAATCCTTAGAGTTGCCTGTTGGACTCTTAGGAAGTTTAACTAGAGGAGCAAGGTAGCCACGTTTTCTCAATTCCAAATTGATCAAATTGCATTAGATTTTAAAAACTTTAAAACCAATCTCAATTTAAGACATATGCAATGGCAGCTTTGTCATTGTCAGATACACAGATGGATAAAATTAGCAATATATTACAAACTATAAATGAATTTCACATGGAAGTAAATAGAGCAATGGAAATTCTACATAAAGTAGTTGGAGAAAATGCTAAAAATAACAAAATACTAAAACCAACGTAAAAGATGTTTCTCTAAGTGTAGATGGTGAATTGTTGCAGTTAAGATTGGTTAATACGTGGAATACTCTTATAATCCTGGGGCAATACTGGTCGCCTGAGACAACAGACAACCCAGCCAGAAGTAAAGTAGATACCACACATCCTAATGGCTGTGATTCCTTGGGCAACTGTGAAATTAGAATATTGGCACTTAAAGGAGGAAACATGATATTGGATTACCGCACTTCTGCAATTCCTCAATATCAAAAGAGAAAGTGGAGCCTACAGGCCAGAGAAAGCCCCCTTCTGACAGAAGGAAAACTTGTTCCTGAGGATATGTTAGTGGAATGGAACCAAAATACTCTTATCATTGCTAGATCTTTGGATATATCAATGGTACAAGTACCCATGACTATGGCCTTGATGCCTCCTCAACAAGTTATATATAATATGGGAAACTGGACCATAATAGTATACTCCAAACTAAACCTTACCCTAACCTTTTAGAGTCAAGGGAAAAATAAGAAACACAACATGATGAGATGTGTGAAAATAGAACAGATAATGAATATGACAATAGAAGGAAAAAGATATTATTTGAGGTCAAAAGAAGATAAAGGAACTACAAAAATAACTAGAGAAATATTCCACACTGACGCTCCTAAATTAATTTAATAAATGTAAATCATATATTAGAAAACTTGAGACAAGTAAAAGAACATCTAGAATATGAGGCTAATGAAGTCAAAATAACTTTGCAGGAACCGAAAAGAGAACAAAAATATGCATTCTCTAAAATAATGACAGTCATAAATTCTGATGTAACGGCAATTGGGCACATGCTTAACGATGCTATGCAAACCTGTGCCCCCTGGAGCTTTATAAACATGGGTTTTACATGGAAATGCAATTGTCAAGGAAGCTTACCTGAGTGGTTTAAGAAACTTTATTTTAGGTCTTTTGGTGATTGGATATGGCATCATGTTAAAGAGTTCTTTGCTATACTTATACTGATAATATTAGAAATATGGTTCCTTAAACTGGTCATTAAACTATGGTGTAAAAGAACGTGTGTCAAAGGAAAAATACTCACAAAATATGATTGTTTGTGACTAAGATTGAAAGTGATTTAGAATCACAAAGTGGATTGGTATTTTTGTGAACTTAGATTTGCACTGATACAAGAAATTTTATATTTTCAAGTATTGAGGAAGCTATTCTTGTTTGAATCCGATTTGGCCTGAGTTTTATTTTAATCAGAGCAGTCTGACTTATGGCCTGTCAAACATACATTGTACATCTGCTTTAATTGTTACCCAAAAGTAAACAACATCTCTTTGAAGATTAAAAAAACTCATGCCTCCCTTCCTTTTGATGCCAGCACTCTTTAAAGATGAGACTGAATGCCTTCTTTCCCACAGCACCAAGGCCATGTTGACTCGCTGTGTACATGCTGATCTGTAACAAAATATCTCCTTGAACTCTTGAAAGAATGTACCCCTGTCATACTTGATGTATGTCTCTCTGTTTGGAAATGGTATACAATTGTGCTGAAAATCTGTCTTCTCTGGTGCGCTTCGCACTCCTGGGCTATAGTCCTCAGTTGGGCTTGAATAAAAATCTCTAGTATAGAATGATTATTGATTATTTGCATCAATATTTCTTAATGACCATGAACGGCCTTCAGAGAAACTCACCTCAGACCACCTGGAGTCTACTTTGAACTGGCATATGGTACCAGCATGGGCCCATTGTGCCTGCCTTCCATTCCCCCAGCTTCACTGCATTCTTTAGGTGCTTTGGTCAGTTCTCCTGAAATCCAGACCTCCTTATGTAAGTTGACAGTCTTGACTTTTATTTGAGCTGTTTTGGGTCTTAAGACTTAAACATCTTATGGGTGTACTGGTACTTTTCCTAGGTAAGAGAAACCTAGGGGGAAAATTTCCTGGGTAAGAGAAACCTAGGGGGAAATTTGGAGTGAACTGGGTTGGCTGACTTTTTTACTTTGGCTTTTTATTGGAAAAGATTTATGTGTACAAAGTCTGAACAAATAACTTGACAGCAAAATGAGAGACTGAATTTGCTCAGCTCTGAAGAAAAGGGACACTTGCTCCTTCCAAATGCAAGTCATTCTCAGGCAACTGAGAACCTAGTGGAAGTGTCAGAAGTCAATCCTCATGATGTGCAGCAGTCCCATAAGGAACTCCATCGTGACTGTTCACTTTAAATAACTAATGGCTTGTCGAGGGACCCGCACACAAGGATTGTTCATCCAGTGCTCTGCACCCCTACGGTAGTTGTAGACTGCCTGCAGGAGAAGCTAAGACACGTGAGAGAGTGTTCATCACCTTTTAGGAAGTGACACTCACAAGAAGCACACTTGTGATCCATGACACTGCCCTCAGGAATTGTTCAGACTTTATATAGTAAAACAAAATAAAAGAAAATGGGAAATCGCTTTTCTAAAACTGACCAGCTCCCAAAGGGGTAGCCACCCCCTGGAACTCTGGCTGGCTTCATGTACAATACATATGGAGCATTTACTTGCAAGTACCTAACAAAGCAGGAAAATTTGACAAAAGATGATTTAAAATTACAGTGGCCACTTTGTGGCTCCTTTGAGTTTCCAAAGCTTGTCTTTTTGCTCATGAGATTTGAGAGCCATGGAACAGACGGATTAAATGCAGCCTTGAATCTTTAAAGAGTCAAGGGCACCACCTTCCAATGCACCTGCTCAAAAACTAATGGTTCTGGAGGGTGTAAATATTTACAAAGAACAGCAAAATCTTACTAAGCTTGTTTTGTGCCCTGAGAGCTTGGCTTGGTATCCGTCAGGTTGGGGGCCCCAAAATGTGGTCAGACAGAAACACAGGCTGCACCTGATTTGTAGGTAGGGTCCTACCAAACTGCTGCCAGCCTCAGGGGAGTTACATTGGCCAATAGAAGGAATGTTCCAATTAGACATGATCATTTACAAAGTGCGCTTAAAAACAAAGGTTTCAAAATTCCAAAATAACCCTATTGAAAGTTGTGTTTCAAATAGATATATAAAAACTAAGCTATAAGAGGTACTTAAAAGAAAAATCTATTAAGTTATAGCTTTGCAGACCCCCCCATAAGGAGGGCCCAGTTTGAGCCCCTCCCAGAGTTAAGGAGACTCTTAGAGATTTTCTGGGAAATTGCCATGTTATTCCCTTAAAAAGTCAAGAGCAAACTAAAATTAAAAATTAATGGAGTTGGGCCGGCCCCGTGGCTTAGTGGTTAAGTGAGCGCGCTCCACTGCTGGCGACCCGGGTTTGGATCCCGGGCTCACACCGACGCGCTGCTTCTCCGGCCATGCTGAGGCTGCGTCCCACATACAGCAACTAGAAGGATGTGCAGCTATGACACACAACTATCTACTGGGGCTTTGGGGGGAAAAAATAAATAAATAAAATCTTTAAAAAAAAAAAAAAAACTTAAAAAAAAAAAAAATTAATGGAGTTGTTTAATACTGCTAGAAATATTTACTATTTGTCCTGGCTGAAACCTGACAAGATTTGAAAGAATTTAGCAGTGTATAGTCAGAAATTTGGACAAATTGGAAGCTGACATTCAGAGTCTGATAGGAACTTTTTTTATATATATAGGCCTCTGCCCTAAGTTAAGATAAAAATATGTACCCAGAGGAGAAGAAACAAATTAAGAATAATGTAATTGGATGGGCATGTCAGTCCTTTTATAAGCAACTAACCTTCCCTGTTTATCTCAAAAAACTTGTAACTTCTCTCAGAACTATTATCTAGCCCATTCCAGATTCCTAAGACTGAAGCATAAGAAAGGGGGAAAAGAAACTTTTAGAGATGCAGAATGCTATGGAAGTACCATTGCTGGAAAGTCTAAGAAAAATTTTTTTAAAAAGGAGGCTATAAAATCTTTGTTTGCATCTGTCTGTGTGTTTGTATATGTATGTTATAAATATGTGATATTTTTCTATCTCTGGATGGTATTATCAAGACTAGTTTATAGAAGAGATCTATTTAATTGGCTTAAAGTAAGCACTTATATAAATTATTTCTAAATGTAGTAGAAACTAACTCAAATATTTAACAAGTTAACATGATATAAAATAATCTTTAGTAAATGAGAACTTATTTAAGGTTGTTAGTTTGATTAAAATAAGCATGTTTTCAGAGTTATCAGAATTGGAAATGATGCAGGCATGGTATCTATTTACAAAATTTGTTGGCAAAAATAGTAACTTAGAATGATAGCTGATTTTGTCTAATGTTTCATGAAATTTTTAAAGCACTCTCAATATAATTATTGGAAAGAAGTAAACTAAATAGTTGTAAGAAGGATAAAAGTTTTTGGGTAAACTTTTGAACAATAATTGTGTGTTCTGGTATAGGTACTTAAAATAACTGAAACCTTTTGACAACTTGAAATCTTAGAGTTTTGTTCAATTAAGTTAAATGATAAAGATTTATTATTTATGGGTAATTTCCACATAAGATAAAATATTATAATTAATTACTAAACATAGATTTATCTACCTTATCTTCTTATTTCAAAGAAACTAGAAAAATACTTGGGTTTATCAATAAACACATTTTGTGTCACGCTGAGAAATTTTCTATGAGAAAGCACATCTTTGTAGACAGTATTTGTGGGTCTGCCAATCCACAGGATGCTAATGTAAAAGAATAAGGAAAACAACTCTGTATACAAGAAAAGTAAGAGGTATGTTTTCAGTAAAGAAGGCATAGGAATGGAGATATTTTCATTTGTTTGTTTTGTTAAGAAAGGTAAATTTGTCCTAAAGTACTACGAAAGAGAGAAGACGTGGGACAAATTCTGAACGTAAAAAAGAAAGTTTTCCTGGCTCAAAAATTAAAATTTGGTTTTCTTTCTCTCAAAAGGATAATTTTCTTGGACTTTTAGTCTGCTCTTGACAAAGATGTTATGAAAGGTTTTTCTTTACTTTTGACTAAACTACCAAAAAGCAGGGATTTTATGTTTTATCAAAATAAATTTCCTGTATTGTTTTTATCAGGTCTTTAATAACAAGAGTTAAGGTTTTTCTTACATCTATTTAAATTTCTGTATTTGTCTGAAAATATTTAATTGTCACCATGGTTAAATGGATAACTGAGCATTGTTTCACCGTGACCTATGATCCTATTTGACCAAGTGTTCCAAAACCTTTTGATATTTTTGACAACCTTCCCAAAATTCAAATTCAAAATAAAGTCTTTCTTTTGACCTAAAAATAACTTTGAGAATTTCCAGCAGACCCCTGGGACTTCTCAAAGAATTTGTTCTCTCTTCCTATAAAGAGGGATATACTAAACTAGGTTTATTTGATATGTTAAATTGCATGGGAAGCATTGTCAAATAAATGATAATAAACCTTATTAGGTTATATTGTGTAGGTAAATGTTATTAATATGTGTTCTAAAAATTATATAAAATTCCTAAAAATCTGATATGTCCTGGTATAATTCTAGTCGTTATCCTAAAAAGTGCCCTATTGAAATAACTAAATTTCCTTGTCAATTGCATTGTAATCAGATCTTTAACCAAGCCATTTTAAGTCTTTTGCCATTTACAGATAGTTATTGTTTTACTCTGGTGCTTTTGCAAATATAGTTCGTCTTCAGAGAGATTCATGGAAAGACACTGACACTTACTCCAGAATACAGGTTTCTAATGAACTTTCAGATCCTAAAACTGAATTGGGTAAGAAATTAGAGAACTCTAACAAGAGGAACTCATGGATTCATAAAACTGCTAACAAAAGATCAAGATCAAATATTAATTACATAGGACTACATGAACCATGGAGAATGCTCTAATGTTTTGTTTTTCCAAATTTAAAGATATCTTTTCTCTTAAACTATCAACAGTTTGGTAAGTCATACCTTTATGAACAGAGGTGAAACATTTACTTTTTGTCCTTACTTGATACCTCTGGAATTCAGAAACTCTCAATGAGTATTCTTATTTTCACTTATGTCAATAATCAGGCCTATTTTGATATAAAAAATTAGTTTTACTGTGATTACCTTTGATAGAAATGAGGGCAATTGTGGAGAGAAAAATTATGCTGCACCTTTATAGATGTTGGATTATAGTCCTGTTAACTGTCTTTGAGATTTTGTTATATACCTACAGACTGGATTCCCCTGGCCTAAGGTATTGCCTTTGGTATCATTGACTGCTTGCAGTGCCCCCTTTGGAAAACATGAACTGTGCCCTTGTGGGATGGTCACTGTCAGATCAGTGCCTGTTGGTACACAATCTTCTGTTGATCCTTTGTTGCTTTATGCTAGTATGATCACTTACTGCAAGTCTCTAATATCATATACTCAAGCTTATCATCAAGAGGATAAAGAAGCTTTTCTGGATTCCAATTTAAAGGATCCTATTGGCCCCAGTCTAGAGCTTGGCAACTGGGTATTCTCGAAGTGACATCAGAAGAAGACAGCCCTCGAGCTCCATTGGAAAGGACCTTACCATGTGCTCCTAACCACTAACACTGCTGCAGAATTAGAAGGTATTTAACCTTAGAGATACATCTCACAGCTAAATGTCTACCCCTGACATCTGGTCCTATACAGATGCTGGAGACTCCAAATCAAATTGACTAGGAAGACAAGCTGCCAACATCTGAGGCAGACAGCTCCTCCCAAGATTCAGGACCAGAGGTGTGTTCTTACTTTTCCTCCACTTTATTACACCTGCTTCTTTGGACAATATTGGACGCACTTGTCTATCCCCCTTGCCCTCTATTACATTCCAAAGAATATCGTGGCTGCCTGACAATCTAACTAATATAACTCCAAACACAAATTTAGTTTTATATTATGATGATGACTTAGATAAAATGTTAATGACTCCTTGGACATACCCTAATGTTCCCTTGGCTTTTGGGACTTATTGTCTGGGATATATACATTACAAGGGGCCATTATTAGGGAAATTTTTTTGGGAAGGTTTACAAAATAAGTCTGTCATACTTTCTGACTTGTATTGTAATCAAAATACTTTTTATCACAACTTTACCACTATATAGTGTAATACCAGCTTTGCTAGTCAGATAGAAATGCCTATACAAGTAATAAGACTTATACTAATAATAACGATGATGATAAAATGTTTTGGGAATTAGAACTACATCCACCACAAGATGTAATTTCAATGGAATCTAACCAGCCTGAAAAATCACTGCAAGTGGCAACTGAAGATCTTATTACTATATTAAACTCGTCTGCCCAAAGTTATCATAAAGTACACATAAAAGGGGATAAAAGAGGGTAAACAATTACTTAAATTAGTGCAAAATTACCAAGATCCTGTAATGGATTCTTTCGCTTCTTTTCTTGTCTCTTTAAATCCATGCCTACTCCTCATTGGCTACTTCAAATATTATCGATTGGTCTCTTATTATTGTTACTATATCTATTTTATAAATGTTATAAACTGTGATAAAAAAGGTCACACAGAAGTACACATACAATGTGTGGGTGACAATTTGACCTAATTGAAAATATGTATAACCTATAAAATTACTTCCCCTGTCAGTATGTACTTCTATGATTGTCTTTTATATTTGGTCATTTCTTCCCAACATAGATAACGGGGCAGGTCAGTTAATACAAAGCCCAGTTCCAATGGACATGATGGACCCAGGGCAGGAAGCAACCATCCTGGCATTGAGGGATGATACTTTGATCATCAATTCTTTCTTATCAAAAGATTATTGATCAAAAGAGGAAATGACATAAGAAATTTTGTTTTCCAAGTGTAAGAGGAAGCCATTCTGGTTTGAACCTGATTTGGCCTGAGTTTTATTTTAACCAGAGCAGCCTGACTTATGGCCTGTCAAACATACATTGTACATCTGCTTTAGTCGTTACCCTACAGTAAACAACATACAACATACTCTTTGAAGATTAAAAAAATTCATGCCTCCTTTCCTTTTGATGCCAGCTCTCTTTAAAGATAAGATCCTTTCCCACAGTGCCAAGGCCATGTTGACTTGCTACGTATGTGCTGATCTGTAACAAAATATCTCCTTGAACGCTTGAAGGAATCTACTCCTGTCATACTTGACCTATGGCTCTCTGTTGGAAATGGTATACAACTGTGCTGAAAATCAGTCTTCTCCAGAGCACTTTGCACTCCTGGGCTGTAATCCTCAGCTTGACTTGATTAAACTCTCTACTATAGAATGATCATTGATTATTTGCATCAACAGTACAAGGCATTAGGTCCTTGGGATTAATTAGTGTGTCAGTGATTTGAAGTCGCAGGGCAGATTGTTGTGTATTTGTTTCATATAACGTCAAATATACTTCTTTATGACTGAAGTGAAGTTGTTTTAATCCATTTGTTTACGACAAAGACAAAAATAAAGTTGTTGTTTTGATGTAAGAATGAAGTAAGTTGTGTCAGGATGTCATCATCTCATCTGCTGTCGTTGATAAGAACTCAGTAGCTCAGCTGATAACCAGCACTGCTGGGGGCTGATCAGTAAGAACACGTGGAGAAGAAACTATGGCAAGGAGACACTGGACTCAAAATACCCAGAGTCTGTGAGGACTATTTGAGAGATTTGGTCTGGGCAAGGCACCACTTTGCTGACCTAAATAAACTCTCTGAAGACCTTGGGGGCATTAGCTCCTACTGCGGTAAGGCAGCTCCCTTATCAGTAGTGGTGACAAACTGTGCAGAGGCCCCAGGAAGGAGATCAGCCCATCCACCAACATGGCATAGTCGTTCTCTGGGCAACATGCTCTAGAAACTTTTCACTTGCATTTTGCGCTGGCAGCTGGATGTCAGCTCTTGGTTGGTCAAGTCGTCTCTCAAGAGTGCCTACTCATATAAAAAGGTACACCTTGATTAAATTTAGACTTTATTCCTTTCATCACCCCTTGCCTGGAACAATAGTGTGATTAATCTATCATTGGTTTAGAGTATGTTATGTTATTTCTTTATCAACTTATTAAGAGACATTATCATGTATGCTATTGGCTTATGAAACTGTTATAAATACCACAGTGAATCTGTGTTAAATCAACTATTGACAAAGATGGTTTCAGTCTCTGAGCATAATTTTGCCCCCTAAAACAAAACACCATTCAAATAAACTTATTTACCCTTCGCAAATTATTAGGTCCTTTTTCATCTGTTCATCCAAACATTGTATCTTTTTATTATTGAATCTCCTATTTCATTTCATGGAAATGCCAGTGAATACTGTTAAATGGAAAGCTCTTGCTTTGTGCCTGGATTGCATTTGATAACACCTTGAAATTTTGAAATGTAACCTTCAAAAGTGAATGTAATTTCACTCTATTTCTTAAAAACGTGATTATAATATAACTTCTGCTAATGGTTTATCAGAGGAATTAATACATTTATATGGTGATTAAAGATGTCACAAGGCATAGGGAGATTCTTACTTTTTATAAAGAAGTAAATTGTTGAATTAGAGCTCTAAAAATAAGACCTGAGTGAGGATATAATATTTAAACTCATCTTTCTGACCAAAATCATCTCATTATTATTGACAGAAAATTAGTTTCCTAAAATTCATAATTACCATTTTTCTTCCTAACTATATTTATGGTGTGATATAGTTAACACAAATACTACTAAGTATAAATTTAAAATTATGAGACTATTTGGTCATTATAGAGTAAAATTTCCAGAACACTACTGAATTCTATATACTTAATCATAGCAAAGTAACATAGTATCTACTTGCTAGTTATTCCTGTCTCTGCAGACTTCTAGGTAGTGACCACTTTGACTTGCATTTTTTTCATGTAGCGGGCTCCTTTAAAAAAAAAAGAAAATTTAAAAAATTTTAATTAACTGTACTTATAAATTGACAAAAGCATCTAAATGAATAGAACAAGCAAGAATGGAATGTGAAGAGTTTAATCAGATGCTTTCCTAATTGTCAGGTTACACATCCTATCAGAATAATTCCACAAACACTACCTCTTTAAATATTTGAGCTCTGAATATATAAATTCAGTGTGGAACAAAAGGATGACACTATTGTCCAATTTTCCTTCTTAAAGCAATGCCTAAACAGCTGCATGGAAAATTTGTTGTATAGTAATTTTTGTCCTTGCCTGTTTTATACCTAACAATTAAATAATAAATGTGAAATGTATTTTCTCTCATTTTTAAAAATTATAAAAGCAGAATTTCTTTTAAAATATTTCATAATTTAGATTCATACAGGTCAGAGTTGCCTTTTCCTCTAATTATTCTGAAAGAATAAAGTTTTATGTTCTCACTATTACACTTAAAACCTTGATTTGGTAATTCCCAGTGATCATTAAAACAAAGTGCTTTGACACTGGAAATTATTACATGGTCTTATATTCATAGCTTAATGTGTTCAACATATTATAATTACAATAATTGAGCCTAAAATACCCATATGCATTTGTAATAACCAAATTTATTTTAGAAAAGTGACTTTCATGAGATTAATGCAGATATACACATTTATTTAGCATTGCAGTTTGCACGCTATATATTTACAATCCATGGTTGATATGGGAAACAAAGAAAAAATGATACTTTGAAATTGTCTGAATACTTAATGTAAAGCCTTTCTATTTATAAAACCCAAGAATCTCTATATAACTATTAAATGTGTAAGTCAGGGCTATAGGGAACCTCCATTTATTAGTGGAACAGAGAAGTATCTCATCTATGCACAGAGTCAGGCAGAGCCTGGTGTATTTTAGGAGTCACAAACGGAAGCTTTGTTATTAGTATTTAGTGCAATTTTTGAATGAAAAATTTAAAAAGGGGAGAGAAAGGACCAAGAAAATATTCAGGATCTGCTTAATAAAGCCAATTGTACATAGTAAGATTTAGATACTAAAAAAAAATCTCTTCTTAAAATTAGGACACTAAAGAATATTTTGGAAAATAAAAACTATGGTGAAAATATATAAATAGCATTTAAAATGCTGGAGATTATGTTTATCTAATTGATACAATTCTTTACTTGTATAAAATACACAGTCTTAGAATAAGTAAAGCTTAGCAAACTCTGCATTTAGGCTCATGTAATTTTCTGGTTACAAATGCATTATTAAAATAAAATAGAAATCAACATATTTTTGTAGTTATAATTATTCTTAATATTTTGCCTTTTAACTTTTATACACCATAACAGTGTTACATTATGACATGCTTTCAGTCTGCAATATATTATACTGAATTTTGTAGAAATACAAAGATACAGTCTGATTAAATATCATATCCTACAGTCTAAGTCTACAGATTAGAAAACTGGAATCATCTATTTTAACTTCTTTATCTGTAAAATGGTAATAAGTAACCTTAAGTATCTCATAAATAGTTTCTAAAAAAATAATGTAAAGTAAATTCTTAACAGCTAAGGAGTCTCCTTAAGAGAAAGATATTTGTTATTATTTTGTTTCCTTATAACAAGTAAAATTATAAGACTAAAATATATTATTCCAGTACCCAAGAAAGTGATATATACTTTTAAAATAAGTTATTATATTCTTGTTTTCTGTTCTCTTGTTGCTATTTTGTTGAAAATATAACTTGCCCCTCCACTTTCAGGCAGATTCACCGTTCAATATAACAAAAGGAATATATGTCTGAATTTAAATAAATTATTATTATTATAGGTATATTATTTTTTATTAATATTATACTATACAATACTGTACTGTAGTATACTATACTATATTATACTACTATAAAATAGTTATTATTACAATTATTACAGTTATAATATATTAATGTTATATTATTATATTATATAGTTATGTTATTTTACAGATGAGTAGACTTGCTTTTGTTCTTTGCAAGTCATTGGAATTGGGCCCTGCCATGGCTAGTGCAATGTGCACACTCTTCAGAGAAGGGAGATAATGTTAGGAAGACACACACTCTTTTTAAAGACAGTGTTTTATTTTCCTTTTACAAGAGATCTAATATACTTAGTTACAGGTAACATCACATTTTTAAGGCCAATGTTGAAGAGGCAAAAAAAAAGAGCCTTTTGGTTATAATAGAGACCAGCATACCAGTCCTGATGGTTGCTTTTTACTAAATAACTTAAAATAAGATGCTCAAAAGAAAACAAATTTTCAAGTGTTTTCTTCAGTGCCGTCACTGTCCTGGTTGGTCCAGGGTATGCTTGGCTAAGTGCCTGAGCCTCCCGGTTAAAGTCCATTTTAAAAGACTTAGTGGGAGAGCTTATAGAGTGCAGCATTGTTTGAAAGCCTTTAGAAAGGTTCCTTGCTTTGGGCTACAATCTTTGTGTGGTATTTTTGGTTTCCAGTTTTTTAGTCAACATTCTGAAAATATAACCTCCTCACTCAGTGCCTTAATTATACGTAAACGGTGACTTAATAAAACACATTCATCGTGTGCATTAGGTGATGCGAATTCTCACCAGCTTGCGGCTCCTTCTTGCAGGCCCTTCCCTCCCGCATCCTCGGTAGCTTTCAACGGCCTGAGCTACATTTAACCCGGTTTGACCTGCCTCTCTGACCCGCTACTCTAAAACAGAAAGTACGTATGCAAAGTCCTTAAGGTATAATTCCTACTTAAAACATGGTCTCCCAGGGGCAAGGCCTTGCTCAGTTATGCTTCTAGCCTGTGTTTATCACTCTGCAGACACTGCAATATGAGACAAGTGTTGGTTTAGCACTTGAGCCACGACTGTGCAGTAAACAAGGCCAGAGTTGATGCCAAGCACTACAACTCCCGCTTCACATTTCAATTATATTTAAATGAGATTGCCTAATGCAAGTGTTTAAATGTTCATTAAAATTAACCTTTCGAATCCAGAGGGCACAGTGGGCCCTCTTGATAACACTAAACTTTTAGATTTGGGTTTCCAATTAGTACTGCATAAATGAAAAATTCAAGGGGTTTGAAATGTCAAGAATGCTTTAAAATATATATTGACTTGGCTAAGAACTTTAACTCTGTCTCATAGTTAATGTTCTCTTGGTGTTTTTGTGATATGATTACTAATAGTCATTGACTATTTAACGCCAATAATGTCCTCAGAGCTAACGAAGCACAGGCACCGTATATCAAAAAAAAAAAAAAAAAAAATGATAATATTAACTCAAGCAAGAATTATAGTAGAGAACATACTTAGGTTGAATTACAAGCTTGAAAGAAATTTTGAATAGCCATAGTCTGTTCAATATTTTAGGAGCAATTTCACCACAGACATCCCTAGTAAGTGAGAACCTACTATATTTCAAAGGCCACCAGTATCTTCAGAAAATTCATTAGGATCTGTTGTCACTTCTTGCAGGTATCAACCTATAAGACTTAGAGTCAGAGGGCTTTCCAGAAAGCTTGAGACCATACGCTCAATGCTGGATGTGTGAGATCTGGGTGGAGCAAAGGATGTTGTGGCAGCAGCATTATAAGTCATTTGAATTTAAAGGTAGAGCTTTCAAGTCCACATCTGAAGGCCTTTCAGAAACTAGAGGGCAAAAGAGAATTCCTAATATGAGACTAAGGCCTTCTGGGTACCCAGCCTGTGTGGGCTCTGGGATAAATTATTAATAAGCCCCCTAGAAGAGCTTATCGTTGAGGAACAGAGATCCAAAGCAGATTTAAATATAATCTGAGACATGATAGGACAGAGGTGTTCATACTGTACTGTGGGAGCCTGGAGGAGG